TTTTTTTTTTAAAGATTTTATTTATTTATTTGACAGAGAGAGACAGCAAGAGAGGGAACACAAGCAGGGGGAGTGGGAGAGGGAGAAGCAGGCTCTCCGCCGAGCAGGGAGCACGATGTGGGGCTCGATCCCAGGACCCAGGGATCATGACCTGAGCCGAAGGCAGACGCTTAATGACTGAGCCACCCAGGCGCCCCATAAATAAATAAAATCTTAAAAAAAAAAAAAAAAAGGATTAGGAGAAGGCTTTCCAGAGGAGGTGATCCATAAACCCAGCCTTGAAGAACTAGTATAAATATTCAGGCAGACAAATACTTTCCAGTGAAGGAAATTGCAGGAAGCAATTGTGAAATTTATTTTTCACTGAACTGTGAAAAACATACTATACTCATGGAACTGCAAGTAGTTCAACATAACAATGTGAAATGGTGAAAGGTTTTGGAGTAAGAACAATCCGTAACTCCTGAGGCACCTCCTTCTTTAGTCTGTAAGTGTACTAAAACATTGAGTAGACCTACATTTATAAAAATAGAGATAAGAATAGTACCCATCACATCGGGTAGTTGTGAGAAGTACAGGTGAAGTGCTAAAAACAATGCTTAGAGTAAGCAGTGATTAGCATAAGCCCCATACTAACTATAGATATAGTGACATATCTATACATTAAGTGACATATAACATATAGTGATATATAGCACTTACTATTGTGATTACTTTTTTGTTTCCCCAATTGAACTTGAAGATGATATTTTGTCCATAAGCAACCTACATAGTTAAAGCTGTTTTATGAGAATATGAACACTAAGCATTTCACTTGAACTCCAGAAAAGAATTATTTACCAATATGCTACTTACACTAGCTGATTAATCGTCTTCTGCTGCTCCTTAGATCTTCTGTAATTCAACAATTTACTTTGTGCTGGTGTGTCAACACCTATGTCTTCAGGGGGGCGCACAATAGGAGGTAACTTCAAGTTCAGAGCCTCCTTTTCTGCTCTAATTGCAGCTTTGTTTGGATCTGACATCTTGGTCTCCTGAAGATTAAAATACTTTATACTCTGAGGAGAAAAAGCCCATTAAGCCATTACTGTAAACATTAGCCTCCGTATATTCATAACATATCTTAGCTATCAATTCCAAAACTTCCAGACATTTTGAGATCTTCCTCCCAAGTATGGTATTAGCCTAAAGAATGACAGTTGAGGTAAATGGGCAGGGATTCCCTTATAGCTCTACATCCCACTTGCTATGAAGAAATGAAACCAGTCACTTCCCAGTTAGGGTTTCAGTTTTCCCACAGATGAAATTAAGGAACTGGATTAGATGCTCTCTAAATACCCCTATGGTTCTAAAATTCTGGGTTCAAATTTTCCCCTAAAATGCAAACCACCACCATCACAACAACAAAATCCAGTTGTTGAGGTATAATTGCTCTCCCAAAAAAAGCTGATGTTTGACATCATTAAAATCTTTAAACACACCAATATTGTATCTCAGTCTTGCTACCATCCTAGGAAGTGATACGATGATCAAGCAAAAATAGGCATACATTTGCATAGAAAATCTAAAATGTCCTGTAAATGTTGAACAGTTAACTGTGATACCAACTGCACTTGCCGCGGATGCCCACAGAATTTGGAGATTCCTGCCTTGAAAAAGAGAGTATTCTGCTGGCACCCAGTTAGAGATTCCGGCCCTGGGAGAAGGGTGAAGAGAAACCTGAAGGCAAGAAGTACCTACCTGATTGTTTTTCACTACTTCCCAGCTGCGCAGACGAGAGGGAAACGTTCATTAGCTTCTCCTCTGGCAAAAGGAAGAGGGGAGACGAAGGGTGAAACCTCAGGGACCCCACCGCTCCCGATGAGCTGGGCAGTCCGCCTGCCATGTACAAACAAAGTTGTCGCCATGGAAACGGTCGCCATCGCGGCTGGAGAGACCGGGTAGAAGTTGCCTGGAGAGGCAGTTGCTGAGCTGCGACAGATTGGATTACCTGTCACAGTAATTCATTGCACAATTCATTACTAATTGTTTACGAATGGAGAGTTGGAGAATGAGATTTTTTTTTTTTTTTTTTTACCTAACTGCCTTCCCTTGGAAGGGGTCCAGGGAATCAGGATCTTCAAGCTGTGGAAACCTGCAAGACTGGAAATTTGGATGTGTTGAAAAACAGATTTATGTAAACGCTCTCAGAGGAGGATGAAGTCTTCAAATGTTCCCATAGTGACTTCCCTGTAAATAATCAGCAATATAATTTATCTTGTTTCTATATTGGTGTTTGTTTATGCAGCACTTTTCCTTCAGGAAATCCTTGGCAAAAAAGGTAAGGTGTGTAAGTTTTTCGAGTATGCTTGGAGATACTGGATACTCCATCTGAAGGATGATAGCCTACACAAATATGCGCATAAATAAAACTGGGGGATGAGTAAGTCTGGTGGTGTATTGATGGCATAGTCATTCAACAAATATTTGAGCATATTTGACCTAGAGTGCCAGTCACCATGTATAAAGAATTTTCTGTTAGAGTACAGCCTACACTCCTATGTCTGGCACACAATAGGGCCTCTAAAAACATCATTTGGGTGAGTGCATGAACAAGTTAAGCATCCTCATTGCTTGTAAAAGTAAGCTGTCTTTCCGTAGAAAGAAAATACTGGTATAAGTACATGATGGTTTTTTGGCATTTGCTTAAGCTAAGTTACAAGCTGTGGACTTAAAGGAAGACAGCAGTCTTTAGTGTCATACCCACAACCTCGCCAAGTTATTCGATCAAACACTAATCTGGTGCTGCAATGAAGAGATTTTGCAAATGCAATTCAAATCCCGAGTATATTGATGTTAAACTAGGGAGAGTATGTGGGTGAGGCTGACTCAATCAGTGGAAATCCTTTTAAAGAGAAGGTTTAGGCATGCACTGAATCAGACTCTAAACAGCAGCTAGCTTTATAATTGCTCTCTCCTCTCTGGATCTTCCCTGACAGCCTACCCTATAGATCTTGGACTTGCTTAACCTGTTCCCACAATTGCATAAGCTAATTCCTTGTAATAAATTCATATGTATATATATATATACACACATACATACATATGGATAAATATAGGGGACACATATAATCCACTGGTTCTGCTTCCCTCATTAAACCCTGACTAATACAATATATTTTTTTAACAGATTTATGCAGGTGTAATTTACATACTATAAAATTTACCACTCTAAAGTATATAATTCAATGATTTTTTTTAGTAAATGTAGAGACTTATACAACCATTACCAAGATCCAGATCTAAAACATTTCAATCACTGCAAAAAGTTCCCTTAGGCTCATGTGCAGTGAATCCCCACTCCAGCCTCAGGCAACCACTGATTTGCTTTTGGCCTCTATATGTTTGCAATTTCTGAAAATTTCATATAAATGGAATAAAAAATTATGTAGTCTTTTGTGTTTGGCTTCTTCCACTTAATGAAAACATGTTTGAGCTTCACTCATGTGTAGTATGTAGCAGAAGTTCATTTTTATTGCTGAATAGTCTTCCATTATATAAATATATTACATTTGGTTTATCCATTTACAAGTTGATGGACATTTGGATTGTTTCCAGTTTGGGGCTATTATGAACAACCCTGACATGAACATTCATGTGCAGATGTTAGGATGAACATACATGTTCATTTCTCATCAGTAGAAACCTAGAGTAGAATTACTGGGTTGAATGGTAAGTTGAATGAATGAAAGGTTATGTTTAACCTTTTAAGAAACTGTCAAGCTGTTTCCCAAAGTGACTGAAAGATTTTATATTCCTACCAGCAATGTATAAGGGTTCCAATTTCTCCATGTCCTTGCCAACACTTGGTATTGTCTATCTTTTTTATTACAGCCATTCTAGTGTGCATATAGTGGTATCTCATTGCATTTTTAATTTGCATTTCCCTGAATACTAATGTTGTTGAAATCTTTTTGTTACAGGATTTTTTTCTCTGCTGGTGCCCACAGTTCTTGGTCACACCACTTTGAAGAATGAAGAGGTAGACCAGATAGAGTGGTGGGCAGCAAAGCAAGGTTTATTGAGTGATAGTAAAGCAAAGGTTATTGAGTGATAGTACAAAGCTCCCAAAGAGAGAAGGAACCCTACCTAGAGGGTTGCCACAGGAGTTTCTCAGTTTAGGGATTTTTAATGGGCTTGTTAGCTGGCTGTTTTAAACTGATTAACCCTCCCTGATCCTGTCATCCAATCAGGTTTTTGTCACCTATCTATCACATAGGAAAGGGTGGAGGGCTCCTTTCAGGGTGGTGTAAAATCCTTTTAAGGGTGATTTCCTCTTGGGAGGGGGGGCTTTGTCCCTGCCTGCCTTCCACCTATCCTTCATCATTTTCATGTGCTCATTATCCACTAACATATCTTTTTTGGATGAAATATCTATTCAAATCTTTCATCCATTTTTAAATTGGATTATTTAACTTTTTATCAGTTGTAAGAGTTCTTTATATTCTGGATACAAGTCCTTTCAGATAATTTGCAAACATATTCTCTTGGTATACAGCTTATATTTTCATTTTCTTAATGGTGCCTTTTGAAGAGCAAAAGTCTTCATTTTTTTAAAGATTTATTTATTTATTTGGGTGGGGGAAGTGGAGGGAGGGGCAGAGAGAGAGAGAGGGAGAGAGAGAATCTCCAGCAGACTCCATGCTGAGCAAGAAGGCCCAATGTGGGGCTCAATCCCAGGACCCTGGGATCATGACCTAAGCTGAAATCAAGAGTCAGTCGGTCGCTTAACTGACTGAGCCACCCAGTTGCCCCCAAAAGTCTTCAAATTTTATAAAATCAAACTTAAGATTCTTTTTTATGGGTCATGCTTTTGAGGCTATTATCTATGAAAGACAGATAAGGTCATGAAGATTTTCTCCTATGTTTTCTTCTAGTTTCCGGTTTTACATTTAGATCTATGGTCTATTTACAGTAAATTTCTATATTTGGTGAGAGGTACAGATCCAAGTTCATTTTTTTTTTGTATATACATATATAATTGTTCCAGTATCATGTCTTGAAAAAGTTGTCCTTTCCCCACTGAATTGCCTTGGGATCTTTGTTGAAAATCAATTGACCATAATGTAAGCATTTATTTCTGGACACTCAATCCTGTTCCATTGATCTACATGTTTACCTTTATACCAATACCACACAGTCTTGATTACTGCAGCTTTAGTAAGAATGGTTACAGTTTTAAAATTGGGTAGTGTCAGTCCTCCAACTTTGTTCTTTTTTTTTTTTTTCAAGCCATAAGAGACTTTTTTTTTTTTTTAAGATTTTATTTATTCATCAGAGAGAGAGAGAGCACAAGCAGGGGAAGTGGCAGGCAGAGGGAGAAGCAGGCTCCCTGCTGAGCAAGGAGCCTGATGTGGGGACTCAATCCCAGGACTCTGGGATCATGACCTGAGCCAAAGGCAGATGCTTAACTGACTGAGCCACCCAGGTGCCCCCCAAACTTTGTTCTTTTATAGAAAAGTAGTGATTTTGACTCTTTTAGGTCCTTTGCATTTCCATATAAATTTTAGGATCAATTTGTCAATTTCTACAAAAGTGCCAGCTGGGATTTTTACAAATCTTTCGCTTTGAAAGAAAAACAGCTATTTAAACATATAATATGCAGCTTAAAATCCCCCCTTAAAAGCTCTATTTCTTAGTCTAAAGGTTAGAAATATTATCTATGAGAGCAGAATTTATTTCACAAGGCCTTGATTATTTAAAAGCACTTATGGATATAACACCAAAATGTGATTCTCTAATACTATACAAAAAGTTTCTTCTACTTATTAAATGTGGAAGATGCTAAGAAAACTTATGAGACTAATTTACTACGCTTTATAATATGCAGTGTTTGTTTCAAAATTAAAAACGGGAGGGCAGGGAAAAGAAATGAGTCCATATGCATAAGAGTTCTTTATGGAGTTAAATTGTGGTAGGTTTTACATAGGTTCTTTGATTTGAATTTCTTATCTTCTAACTTTTTTTTTTTTTTTTTTA